GTCTTGATTTTCTTCTCCAACCGAGGATGAATCAGCCTCGTCTTCTTCTTCGTCTTCATCCTCTTCGTCCTGTTGGTCATGTTCGTCCTGTTCGCTTTGTTGGCTGGCGCTATCGTGTACTGACTTGCTGTCGGCCTCGGTCGTATCGGTCGCCTCCTCTGCTTCGACCTCAAGATCCTCCGCCGGCTCTTCTTCCTCTTTTTCTTCCTCTTGATCTTCATTTTCGTCCTCTAGCTCGTGTTCTGCGGTGTCTTGATGTTTAACGGCGTCGTATATATACTCCAACGAACGCAACGCGATGATGCCATGCTGAACATCGTCGAGATCTAGAGATAAGTCGTTCTTTGCATACTGTCGGAGATGTTCCTGTGCGGAGATATCGATCCATTCGACTGTGCTGTTATCCAGATCCCAGTCGTTACCTCTCAAGGTGAAGAATGCACCACAGCGAACTATGTATGCTTTCAGCTTGTCCACATCGTTGCGATGTTGCTGAGGTAGCTCGGCCATGATAGCAAGCTCGCGCATGGTGGGCGCTACATACGCCGAGATTCTGCAACGCAATATCTCTTTCGTATATTCATGGCCCTCCGCTTGTGGGTTTAGGACGCGCTTTCGCACGTGCTCAAACATGTCGGTCAGACCATACGGAAATGACTCCAACAGTCTTCGGATCTGTGCGTGCTGTGTAGATCCGGGGACCCACGCATTCTTGACTTCTTGTACGACTAGACTAACGTAAATCCAGTTGTCTTCCGCGCGCGAGTAGATGTGGCGCTTCACGAAATATGCCAAAGACCTTGGAAGATCCAGCTCGTCGACGCTGTTTGATATGTGCGCTTTGAGGTCGTCACTGATCTGCGCAGAGTTCTCCGCGTCGCTCAGATTGATCTCCAACGATCGCGGTCTCAAGCATTTCTCGATGTTCGGGCGCCCGCTGCGATTGAGAAGCAGCCATCTAACGGGTTGACACTCCTCTTCATCGTTTGTCGTACCCTCGGTCTCTAGCGTCTCTGACATGTACCGCAAGAATTGTTCCAACGATTCTTCCGCAAGCTGCTCCACACCATACACCACGATGTAGATCTTAGTGTTAGGCAGATCCCGCGCCATCTTATGTAGTGCTATCCATAAAGCAGGCACCTTGAGTATCTCTTCAGTGTCAAAGCTTTGCTTTCCAGCGTCTTTGCTGTTCCGAGAATCTGAAAGCAGGTGTCGGGCAAGATCTTGGTCCATGTCGATCATCTGGCGGACAGCCATTTGCAGCAGACCTTTCAGCGATCGTCGCATCGTGTCGCCCTGGTCGCAAAAGAACGATATGATCATAGAGCTGTTTGCTTGTGCATTTCGGAGAAGTTCGAGAGCAGAAGATGCGATCGCACCTTGGCCCGTACCAGCCTTTCCATGGATCCAAAGGATGGGACTTGCGTTCGAGTTCTTCCAGGTCTGAAAGTTTTCGATTTCCAACACTGATGATGACTTCGTGCCCTTCGCTCCTGTGTAGGTGCCCTTTACGGCGGCTTCTACGTCGGCGAATCCTTTGCCGAGCGCATCCATCATGCTGTGGTAGGTGCGATCATCGACTTGAGATTGTCGAAGCATGTTCTGACGCGTCTTAATGATGCTATCCGCCTTGTTGGCTGTCTCACGGATCTCATCAGAGACGGAAGTGAAGTTACCATCCTTTGGCCCAGGGAACTTGTTGAGTTGGAAATGATCCGACATGAGAGAGATGCTGTCGAATGATTCGATTGTTGCCGAAGATTGGTCAACAATGCGCTCTTTGCTTTTCAGCCATGTGATTCCTTTCACGAGATAGTTAACCAAATCGCTATCGTTCTCTTCCCAGAAGCAAAGTAGCCGAAACTGAGCTTCTCGCGCCATATAAGAGAACTCGGAGAGTAGACTGCGCAAGATCTCCGAGTCTTTTTCCAAGACCTTGAGTAGACTAGACGGCGTACCCCAGCCGGCGACTTCAGCCATGGATGCTAGAACCATTGCCTTGGACTGGCTTGACGTGCCGTGAAAAGGTGTACCGAGGAAGAAGCATCCAGCGATCCAAGGATACACGTTGGGAAAGTCTGTTTGGCGCGATCTCGACATGAGCAGGGCCTTCTCGAGAATGATGCCCCCAAGACAATGTGAGATGAAGATGATGGGCGTTTTGGTTTGGTTCTCCAATACGTTGTTAGCATGTAGTCATCACGAGTACGTACTAACTCACCACTCGTGACCTATCGAGGCTATGTAGTAGTTTGTTCGCGACATTGTCGATGCGTTCGTCGACCGATCCTTTTCCGAACCACTGCGACTGATACTGGAAAACGCTAATCTTGGCATGTGGAATCTTCTTCGGAAGCATATTGGCATCGCGAAGCCAATGCACTTTGCTCTTCTTCCATGTATATTCGGGGTCCGCTCCCAAGCCTGGAATGGCGATGATCCTCGAAGTTATTAGCTTTTGGTTCTCGCGATGGACTTCCAGCCACCTACTCGATTTTGGCCGAGAACTTTGACGTTGTCTGCTCATCACTAGGGTAGACAACGTTCAGTCCGGGGTTGAAAGACTGTGCTTGTAAACATGTAGAAAACCGAGTGTGAGCAGAACACTAACCTGTGCATCGAACTTCGAATGCTGGACCTTGGTGGCCGAAGCCATCGCGAATTGTAGTGCTGTAGCAAACCCGCGCTGCAAACTGGCAACTAAAGGCTACAGCGTAATGTTAAAACCATCTCGTGAGGTATGCGCTCTAAGATTGGAGAGCGCCGCGTTTTCGCTGATGGCTTCACCCCCTGCATGTGGATTTCCTTGGAGACTTTGGGGGCCGCTTATGTTGGGGGCCAAATTACCGAAAAGGGTAAGACGCGTGAGATGGCGCACAGCCGCTTGGTCGCAACTGTATTGATTGCCGAGTATCGATCGTCTGGCGCTGTTCGTGATGGTGCGGGACCGGGGTAGAGGCTCGCCAGTACGCTGGGCGACGAACTCCGGCCCTCTCTTGCTGTCGCATTCGCCTCCGGCGAGAACCGTGTTCTTCGTACAATGATTGACTGCTGCGAGGTCAGTAGCAGCCCTGTGAGCATCCGATAACATGCTAATACCGTGTAGCAAACGATGAAATGCCCAGTGCCGTTCCGCACGGCTCTGCTAAAGATTGAGAGCTCGGATGGTAGTTCAGGGCCAGAGGTTCCGTTGCTGCCAGCAACATACCGGAGAAATTACAAAATCGAGCCCGTCAGCAACAACGTCGGCGCGTTCTTGGATATCGAGCTGAATGTCCGCCGACTGAACGAAGTCCACAAATGGCTATGGCTTGTGGGCCTTCCAAGCGCGCCGCGACCTCTTCATTACCAAGTGGTCAAGAAACGGGAAATTGTGGTGACGGAACAGTTGGATCTGCATCTTGTTTGGTCATCAGCGCCTTCGTCGTCGATTCTCCTCAAACCGCTGCCTCGCTTCCTTCTCTGTCCAAACTTCTGGGTCGCGGAGATCTGCCCACGTCGGCACCTGTACGAGACGGCACTGGGCTTCATGCTGTCGTATGTCGCGCTCATCGAAAGGGAGGTTGACTACAATCTAGCCATCAACCACGGCCTCATCCCTAAGGAGGTCACTTGGTCTGGGTGGCTGGCGCTCGTTGGCGAGGTCGTCTGCACCTCGGTACAGACGCATACCATCGATGCGTCGGCTGCATCGTCTGTAAGCTTGTTGGAGGACCGCCCACGCGTCAACCAACGCTTCAACTACGGCGAATTGCGACTCGGGCGGCTGAACTGGGTATATCGCTTGACCATGGGCGAGTTGCGCGGGTACCTAAGCGGCTGCACCACGTATGGAGCCTTCATGCGTGACAACGTTAACAGTCTCATCACGCTATTCGCATACACTACCATCGTGCTCTCCGCGATGCAGGTTGGGCTTTCGACAGAGCCTCTCGCAAACGACTACTCATTCGGCATGGCGTCGTATATCTTCTCCCTCTTTTCCATCCTGGCTCCACTCGCATGCATTGTCGCTATTCTTGGCGTTATAGCCTTGATGTTCGTCGTGAATCTGGCGCGCACGCTGAGGATTCGAGGGCAGAAGCGGCGTCAAGGTGTGAAGGTGTGAAAGCTCGACGCGACACGCGCCTGCCTGCTGGGAACGATGACGCGCCGCGGGCCGCCAGCCAGGGAAGCGACAGCCCAAACATCCCCACCAACCCTCACCAGCCCCCCGTACCATCAACACCCATCCACCCCACTAAAGATACTTGATGGAATTCCAAGTCGCGATAGCTCCTGCTCGTCTATAGTAGTTAGGCACCCATGCCAGACGTCGACTGCTTGCATCAGTAACCAGATATGGGCCCACTGACGACGCAACGTATCGTGACAATGCCCAAGGTTATCCACGCCCCACGGACACCAGTAGCGAGATATCAAGATCGTGCACGAGCAGAAAGATGAGAACAAAGTGCCAGTAGTACAGCCAAAAAGACTCGTATCAATGGCTGTGTGCACATCTCTCTGCCCGGGCAGCAAGTGTAGCCAGATTGTGTGTCCTGTTTGCTGCATACACGAAGTATAACAATTCCATGAGCGAGATTCATGCGATCGCAACCCACTGTGCTACCTAGGTACAGACGGGCTGGCATAGACGCGGTAGTAGTGGTACCTAGGTACAGTAATACAGAGCATCGTCTGTGACACCGAACGCTGTCATGATAGAGTTTTGGTCGCCCCCAGCGCATTTATTCTAGTCGCACTTCAATACAAGCCCGCATTTGCATCGCCTGCTAGTTCAAAGTCGTAGCGATTCCCTCTTCGACATCTCTAGAGCTACTGTGTTAGTAAAGGATCGGTGTAAGCACCAGCCGAGGAAGCTTTTATCCCGACACTTGACCTATTCCGATTCCTAGCGCTGACACTACGCCCTACATGACCGACACGGCCAGCAATCTCGAATGTACATCTCTAACATCATATTTTTCGACGAAATCGCCTCAAGGCACGATATCATGAGCGACGAACCAGTAGAGCTCACCAACCTTGCAGCGTCCAAGATTGACACCCCACCAGAGGATGCTACACCACCCGTTCAATACCCGCGTGGTATCCGCTTGGCTTTGATAACTGTCGGCCTCGCCCTCTCCATCTTTCTCGCTGCTTTGGATTCAACAATCATCGCTACCGCAATCCCGAGCATCACCACGCAATTCCGTAGCATCAGCAGCCTGGCCTGGTATGGCTCGTCCTACGCAATCACCAACACCGCATTCCAATCCGCGTGGGGCAAAGCCTATCAGTACTTCAGCCTCAAAGCCACCTTCATGTCTGCAATTGCGGTGTTTGAAATTGGCAATGTGATATGCGCAACAGCACCAACGAGCGAGGTTTTGATCTTCGGGAGGATCGTGTCCGGCATGGGCGGTGGCGGAGTTATGACGGGTGCGTTCATCATCGTCGCAATGACAGCTGGGCCACAATATAGGGCCGCCTATATGGGTGTGTTCGGTGTGACTTTTGGGTCTGCAAGCGTCGTAGGACCGCTACTAGGTGGCGTTCTAACAGACGGCCCTGGATGGCGATATTGCTTTTGGTACGTGATTCCGCTTTGTGTTGAGGCCGCTTTGCCGCCTACGATGCACTCTCCACCAAACGTTTTTCATATGAATGGAAACCAGGGAGGCATTATAAGGTCAAGGTCGGTGTGCTGACACTACACAGGATCAGTCTACCGATCGGCTTCGCTGCCGCGCTCACGATGTTCCTCTGCTTCCATGACTCAGGAAAGCCCAAGGATGTACCTCTCCGCGAGAAGCTTCTGAACTTGGATCTTAACGGCGCCATCTTGCTATCCGGTTGCTTCTCTTGCTTCATCCTAGCTACGCACTGGATCGGCATCATGCCTCCGACCAGTGCTCGTATCATTGGCAGCTTTATCGGTTTTGTAGGCCTTTTCATCTGCTTCGCGATCAACGAACGCTATATGGGAAGCTGCGCAATGGTACAAGCTCGCGTGTTCAAGAACAAACTCGTCTTCGCCAATCTGCTATATGCTTCCTTCATCGCGGGCGCCTTCTTCCCACTCATGTATACATTGCCAATCCAGTTCCAATCCGTCAACAACAACACGGCTTCGCAGAGTGGTGTCCGACTTATTCCACTCGTCATGGGCGTCTCACTCTTCACCATGATATCTAATGGAACGCTCACCTTCTGGCGCCATTACAAGCCCTTTTTCTTAGTGGGCGCAATTATGGCAGTAGCTGGAAACGTAAAGATACACTCCTTGGATGCTAGCACACCGACCAGGGACTGGGTCGGCTTCGAGCTCTTGACAGCCACGGGAGTAGGCCTCGCTCTTCAGATCCCGATGATTGCGAACCAAGCCCTCGTTTCTGCTGACGACTTGGCCGCTGTAACATCGATGTCGCTCTTCATGGAGAATACTGGCACCGTCTTTTCTGTCGCATCGAGTGAAGCGGCGTTCACGAACGGACTGCTTTCAAGCCTCGCCCGCAACCTGCCCGAACTGGACGCGAAGGAGATAATGGATGCTGGCGCGACGCAGATCCGCGGGCTATTCTCAGGTCATGAGCTTGACCAGGTATTGAAAGGGTATCTGGATGGCTGTAAGACCAGTCATGTCATACCCGTAGCCTGTGGCGCAATCTGTGCGGCAATCAGCTTGTCCAACGCTGTGCCGGCGACCTTTCAAGGGATAAAGAAGCGGCTTGGGAAAAGCCATGATCGATGATTGCTGAGATGATATGGAAAAGGAAGCTTCAACACATTGACGATGTTTCAACAGGAAGACCAGGACTCAACGGTCCGGAGTTAGTGGAGCTCAACGCCCGCGCCGCGAATCGACGTGCTGTCACGCCTCACACGGTCTCTTGACAGAGCCCAGCGTGTTGGTCAAAGTCGACATGATGGAGGTGGAAAACAGACACCGGCAGTTGCACCGTGCTGATGTGCTGCAGTGCATTGATCGTCCCTGGCCGGCTGCCGGTGCAATAGCGGCGGGACGCGTTCCGCTCAAACTATATTGTTGATATGCAACCATAGCTTATCAATACATCAGGCGCTCAAAGGGTTTCGCGTTCTTGCTCGATGACTTTCACGTTGTTCGCGAGTCGTGAAGTAATCCACGTCGGATGAGATGAGCGCGTGGATGAAGCACGCGTGACGTAGCGTTGGCTGCTAACCGAATCAGGCATAGCCCGACCGTCACGAGCCATCTACGCCCGTGCGCAGCGGCGACTCAGCCATCGCCGCGCTTATCATAACAGTCCCGTCTCTCTCGCCCTGTTGTCTCTTCTGCAATGTCCACAAATCATGCCATCAAACTCATCGACTCTTAATCATCGGAGCAGGCCCTCTACCATTCTCTTCGCCTTTGGCGTCTTCGCGCAGGTCGCGTTGCTTGCCTGCATCTTCTGGACTTACACTAGCTATGGCAACCCCCGTGAGCCGACCGCCTTAGCGGAAACCACAACTAAGACATCATCAAGACCAAACGGCTTCACTCTGCGCCACCTTTTGGATCACGGCGCTGGACAACCTGGGCCACGAGCACGAAGATTCGATGTGACTCCAGAGCGGTTTGCCGTTGCTGGTATCGACTCCCGCATCGGGCCCTTCACTATCAAGTCGGCACCAGTCAAGATAGAAAGGCCCGCGTTACGTGGCTACGATGCACAGATCCCCATGTCGCCCATGTGGATCGCCGAGGATATTCCGGGTCCGGATGTCACGGACAAGAACACCGTTATCAGTTTCGCAAACATGTCCGAAGATGCTTACAAAGTCGGCCCTGACGACGCAGGATGGATGGACGTCGATGGGCATTACAACTCGTCGGTCCCTTTTGGCTGGGATGACAGTGGCATCCGAGGCCATGTGTTCAGCGACGACACTAACTCCACCATCATTCTGGCGGTAAAGGGAACGACGGTAGCCATGTTCGAAGGCGACGGAACGTCCGTGCACGACAAAGAGAACGACAACCTGTACGGCTCTTGCTGTTGCGGCCAGGGCGGCACATATCTTTGGCGCAAGGTATGCGACTGCCAGACTGGCACCTACAGCTGCGACGAGCAATGCGTCAAGAACGAGTTACGGAAGCCGAACAGGTACTATGCCGCGACTGTCGAGCTGTATCAGGAGGTAGTCAAGATCTATCCCGATGCACACATCATGACGACAGGACACAGTCTGGGAGGCGTTCTCGCTTCTTTAATCGGCTTGCAGCACGGTATACCCGCGGTGACGTTTGAAGCATACCCACAGGCCTTGGCAGCTAAGCGCTTGGGACTACCAGCTGCCGGTGACGTTGCTCCACTCAGGAAGAATACAGGTGGCTTCCATTTCGGGCACACCGCTGACCCCGTGTACATGGGAACTTGCAACGGTGCGACAAGTTTCTGCTCTATTGGCGGATACGCCTTCGAGACCCTTTGTCATACCGGAAAGAAGTGTGCGTACGACGTGGTCAAAGACTGGGGTTGGAGGCAGAACACACAGACACACAGCCTTAGATACGCCATCGATAACGTGTATATGAAGTACGACGAGGCAGCAAAATGCCAAGAAGAGGATGTTGGTTGTGTCGATTGCTACCTGTGGAAGTTCGAGAACGGGACGAAAACCACGACGAGTACTTCAGCAACACCAACAAGTACCACATCATCGAGGACGCGGACGGAGACATGTAAGACGCCTGGGTGGTGGGGATGTCGAGATGAGACTACTACGATGGTATCAACAACATCCTCAAGCGTATCAAGTACTGCGACCAGTACAAGTACAAGTACCTGTCAAACAGTGAGTTCTAGAACCCCATAATCGTGCGTACGTGACTGACTTCTCGAAGCCCGGATGGTTCGGCTGCAAAGACAAGACGACGGCTACCGGTCCTATCACGACTGCTACGACTACTACTACATCAGCTGCACCGACAACTACTTGCACCTCGAAGGGCTGGTTTGGCAGGTGTTACGATGACATTCCAGCGACAACTACTCCAGCCATGCAAGCTCATGCCTACTGGCGGACTGCGGCGACTGCGACACAGACGGCTCCTTAGACTTTCAGAATCTTGCATATGCTGTACGGGTGTTTTTCAGTAGCATGGTATACCAGTTAGAATGACCAATCAATCATTTTCGTTGCTGCTTATCATCACGCGAAGAAATATTGTTGCATGGTTCCGTCATCAGGTGAAGGCGCGAAGGATCAGTAACGTTTAGGCTAAACCCGATCTATGTGAGCCGTCTTTCGTATCTCTAGGCAGCCATCATCCAGCGTGTTCAAAAGGAAAACACACATAGCACACAGATTGGGAATCAAACAAGCTTTCCCAGCCTTCTACAAAATGCTTGACTTTGACTTCCACCTCACGACACCTCGTCTCTTCATATCCCACCTTAACTCTGAGAACGATGCTCAGTGCGATTTCGCGTACGAGCTAGTGTTTAGCCCAGGGCCTGCTGAGCAGAAGCCCGCAGTCGACGCGGAGAAGACAAAGATCACACCCCCTCGCGATGTTGGGAAGAATTTCATCGCGAAGGATGTTGAAAGGATGGAGCTAACAGGCTATGGCCGCTACCTGGTCTCGCTCAGACAAAACTCAGCTTTGAACATCAATTCACCGCATGAAGACGAAGACGTCCCATTCTCGAAGAGACGCCTAACGCCAATTGGCATTGTGTCAATGCAACTCGCGCGCTTCCCGTCCGAACCGTCCGCACCAACGATCCCAGATGTCGGGTTCACTTTCCTCCCCCGGTACCTCGGAAACGGGTACGCTACTGAAGCTGCAGCGGGCTTGATGGAGTACTTTACAGACGAGAAAGGACTCAAGGAGTTTTGCGGTTTTTGTAAACCGGAAAACACGGCAAGCGCAAATGTTTTAAAGCGATTGGGGTTCGAGGAGAGAGGTCTAAGGGAGGTAGATGGTGTCGTCGAGGGAGAGATATTGAGCGCGTTGGTCTGGACAATTGGCGTTGGGCATGAGCAGGGCGCGCTTGAGAAGCGAGGCTTGCAACGCGTTGAGAAGCGTTCGTGGAAGTGGTGGCGTTGAAGCCGGTCAGGTGTCTCTGCGGAATATCATCAACTTAGAGAAATGCTATGCCTCATGCTCAATCTCAACTGTGATCGTGTTACACAAATACCCTATCAGCGTGATGAGGATGCCGGACAGACGATCGGAAAGAGTCCGCGCGATGACGTCTGTGCATCGGCCTAAGTCTTAGCGCAGTGCAAGCCCGTCTTCAGCCGAAGCTCGCATCCGTCCGATGCTTCAGCTTCGTCGGATGTTCCGTCGAGTGTTTCCTTTCACCACAGGGTGCAGCCGCGCGCTCTGGTAGCCGATTGCCAACAATTCGCACTCAGCTGACGCGACATTATTCCACGAGATGTCAACACCGGATGCACTGGCAACGACGCGTCCGGAGAAACGGCGCAGACTTGAGCGCGTCGCAGCGGCCTGCGATCTGTGCAAGAAAAGAAAGGTAAAGTGCGACGGTGAGCAACCATGCGCCTATTGCACTCGGAAGGATCGCGCGGCTACTTGCATGTTCAGCGGCCCTCATGCACGCCCACAAGCGCATTCTGCCGGTCACACTCCCCTTCACGGTGTTCGTTCCGACGATATCCACCGTCATCACCCCCGTTCAACTGGCCATACACCTCATAACCGCGATCGAGGTGAACAGGACGATGCTGTGCGACAAAGACTTGATCGCGAAGCTGCCGAGGATGGAACATCACTCTCGCCAACATTGAGCAGAGATGATCAACAAGGCGACACAGTGGTGCCTCTTGAGGGTCGCATCCTCCGTGACGCCCAGGGAAAGTCTATCTTCATTGGCGACTGCGCCCCGCTGTCTTTTCTGCAGACAGTCAGGCATCTCATCACATCCGAGGTGGACCCAAGAGCTACTGTTCAAGCTACACGCGACCCCATCATTGAGATCGCTCGGCCTGATTCAGCGGATCAACATTCATGTCCTCCCATTGATGTGCATCAAATTGACGCACTAGTCGACGAGTTCATGGCTGCAAGTAGTGGCCTCGTTCAGCTCTTCCAACGAGAGGATCTTGCTCCCGAACTGAAAGCATGGGCAAGCAGCAGAAATTCGAGTTCAGACGATGCTGCAGCTGCCGTCTTCTATCTGGTCCTTGCGATCGGCGCCCAAGAGCGATTTGAGGAAAAGGCAGAAGCCTGGTTCAATACTGCTCGGGATGTGCTTTTGAAGCATATGTGCAGCAGCATGAATGTTTCGACTGTTCAAGGCTTTGCCCTAGTAGCGATCTACATGTTGCGAGCGTCTCAACCGAATGGAGCCTACTTGTACTTCTGTATGCAGAAGAGATAATGTATTGAGATCTCACGATTCGCTAACGCGCCCCAGCTTTGGCCGCTCGCGCAGCATACGCAATTGGCATACACCGGACTGAAGTGAATGCATCCTTTGGCGAAACCATTAAGCTAGTGCGGGACCGAATTTGGAAGAGCATTCGCGTTACCGACCAATTGATCAGGTAAGACACGATCCCAAATATTCCCATCTCAAAAGCTGCACGACGTTGCGCAGTCTTGACAGCTTTTTGATAGCATCTGCTAATCTCCGCTTTGTCACGTAGCAACGCATTGGGTCGACCTCCGTCCACATCAGATGTCGACTGCACCGTCAAATACAACACCTTTGAAGACACCACCGAAACCGATGATGCTAATGTACTGGATGCTAGCGTCCAGATCTTCATGATTATCGAGCGTGTCGTCGTAGAAGTGTATTCTCGCAAACGTATATCACTACGCATTGCAGACTATGTTTCGCGACAATTGAAGAGCTGGGCGTCCAAATGGCTGCAGAAGTTATCTCATCTTACGACCAGACCTCACTCTCGAGAAGCCGTGGTGGGCGCTTGCTCCACGCTATGCTCCTATTACTACGGCATCATGCTACTCACCCGACCTTTCCTCATCTACGAGCTATATGAATACATGGGCGCTCCATTGAAGAGCGGGGGCTCACAAGCTGATCACCAAGAGAAGCGCAAGTACGCGGATGCTGCACTTGATGCCGCGTCGACATTAGTGGATACACTGCTAGTCGTTACGATTACAAAGCAGTTGCCTCGTAAGATGCCACTGATTGTGTAAGTAAAGCCATCTTGACTAATTGACTTGGCTAACAAGTATGAGATCCTGGCTCTTCACGGCTACACTCGTTCTTGCCGTCGGCATCCTTGGCGACTCAGGACTCATGTTAGTGGACAGCTGCGAAGATGCAATCACTTGCATGGACTACTTCGGTCAAGTCGACCCTCATGCCCGGCAATACTCACAGGTCGCGCAATCGCTGCTCAAGATTACCACTGCACATGCCAAGAAGAGAGAGCTGCATCTGCGACGTAAAAGGAAGCAAGCATCGTCGGAATTGTTTGGCCTATTGCCTGGAGAGTCAACTAACACTTCGGTCCAAATGGACGAATGCGACGCACAGCTCGGCCACGGGTCGCTGGTCTCCCGAGACTCCGTTCAGCGCCACGTGTCTTCCGCAGCGCCACTCGATTGGACTATATACGATGCCGACTTTTTTGCCATGCCATGGCCGAGTGAGAACGATCAGGGTCTTCAGGATTTCCTGCAGCCGGGCACGCACAACCTTGATGGCGTATCCGTGGCTGACATACCGCTTTTCCCCATCCACGACCAGCAGATGGGCGGTGACTACTTCCCGTAAGTTCGAGATGGATGCGATGGCGTCACGAGTGGGTTTCTTCTTCAAGGTCTCTCCCAAGACACTTCAATGCACGACTTTTGTTTCACTAGTCTCGTCTCTCGATGTTCTCAGAAACGGTATCAGCTTGGTGCCTCCAGTACCGACCAACTCTTGCGTCTTCGGCTTTTCGGCCGCCAACTCCGTCGAGGCGGAAGCTATATCTCGTCTCTTGGGACCGGTAGTGGGTTTTCCCATTCGGCTCGGTATGATGATGTATCTGGTCACCAAGGCGATGTGTTTGTCGCGGAAGCCGCTGAGCGCCGCGACGGCTTCGTTGAATGCGGTCAGAAGCTCAGTGTTGTTTGCATGGCTATCGACGTAGCTCCGAATATTTGCGATTGCCTGGACATCGTCAAGAAAGCGGGCGTGGGGCCCGGGCATGTACCCACGCATCTCTGCGTGAAAGCCGCCGCTTCTCGAATGGTCGACAGAGAGGACCGCATCGAAGAACTGCAAGAGCGAAGACTGGCCGTTGGAACCACCACGATAAGCGCGCCATGTGCCTTTTCCGTTACCTTCGTCGTAGAAAACGCCGTTTGGTAGACCTGCACTCGCCATGTTCATGCTCCCAGCCAGGAAAGGTCGGATGGTATGGTAGAACATCTGCGGGTCACACCGCTCGTCCATGCGTTCCAAGAGCTGGCCAATGCGCTGCATTCCCTGTCGGAAGTATTGCAGGGCGTGTACGATTGTTGTGACATCATCAGTCTCGACAGCTTGAATAGCACCAAGCATGGCCTCGATCAACGGGCCTGCTCTTGCTTCCATGGCATTCGAAATAATGAAGAACCACGACTCATCATCGGTTCCCGTCGCTGTGTGTAGTGCGACCATGTTCTCCGGTTGCGTCAGGTCGGCTTCTTCGTTGAGTGGTGTCCAATTCCATAAGTTCAGAGCTGCATATGTGGCCACTGGATGCACCTCAAGATAGTCGGCAGTCTGAAGGAACGGCACAGTGATCGCTGGGGGTAGTCGCTAGCTTCCTTGTTAGCGACTGGAGACTTTACGGTACTGCGATTTCATGCTGACATACCTCTGATGGCTCGGGACCTGCCCATATGTAGCCTTGGGCTATGACAGCAAGCATCGAGTGTGCTCCCTGCCATTCTGCCTCACTGGAGAGATGCGACGTATCGAGAACGGGCAATGCATCGACCCATTGCCGTATTTGCTGTGTCTCTATGAGTGTTGGAAGTTGCTCAACGATCTTTTCCCATGGTTGATAGTAGGTGTGCGGTAAGCGTCTTAGTGGTGGCTCGGCAGGCAAGAACCCGTTCTTTGAGATGCCGTAATTAGGGAGTGCATCAGGTGATGGGAGGACGGGAATCCTGTGAGGGCTCATTGCGGCGGAAAAGGTAGCGACGGTAGGGTTGTACAGTAATATCGGAAGGGTACGTCCTTCCTTGTAGCGGCGAACTCCTGCTTTATTGCGCTGTAGAGAGAGGTCCACACTCACCTACGGTTGCGTTCCGATAGTCTTCCGAGCTCGGAATGACGGAAGCAATGTCGGATGAGAGTCCGACACCCCAATGAAGAAGGTGCAAGCTTAGTTTGACGCAAGCCTCAAGCCTCTTGCTTAGAGACGTAATGGCCAGATCGTGATGCATATATAGTCTGACGCCGTCATCTCAGTATCATTCTGACATTCGTACATCACATTGCATCTCGTTGGTTCCCCAAGACATACCCTACCCGACAGCATATCATCACTATGGACGCACCTGCCGCAATCCAACAGCTTCGCCAAGGGCAAAAGCCACAGTGGCCAACGAACGCCGAATCACCAGACTTTGCGCATTCGCTCGACCAAAGTGCAGACATTCCCAAGACGTTCCGACCCGAGTTTGTTGTTCCCAGCAAAGCGCAACTAAAGCGGAAAACCCTGAACGATGACGCACAAACCGCCAGCCCTGCATCAACACCAGACGACGAGGCCATCTACTTCTGCGGCAACTCCTTGGGTCTGCAACCAAAAGCTGTTGGCGAGCACTTGAACGCATACCTCAAGACATGGGGATCCATCGCGGTTGGCGGCCATTTCACCGCCCTCGAGGATTCGCCGCTCACACCCTACCAAGACATGGCTGCTGGGTGCTCAAAGAAGATGGCTGACATCGTTGGCGCATCACCTTCAGAAATCGTTGCCATGAACACATTAACCATCAACCTGCACCTGATGATGGCTGCATTCTACAAGCCAACGGAGAAGAAGCACAAGATTATGTGCGAGTGGCGACCTTTCCCCAGCGACTGGTATGCGATCGAGTCGCAAATAGAATGGCACGGTCTCGACCCCAAGAAGTCTATGCTGTTGGTCGAGCCGGACGATGGATACATAATGACCACAAAGAACATCCTCAAGCTCATTGACGAGAACGTCGATGAGCTGGCGCTCATCATGCTGCCCGGTATCCAGTACTACAGCGGCCAATTACTCGACATCCCCACCATCACCGCGCACGCACGCAAGCACAACATCACCATCGGATGGGATCTAGCACATGCCGCAGGCAACGCCGAGCTGAAGCTACACGACTGGGGTGTTGACTTCGCGTGCTGGTGCACGTACAAGTACATGAACGCCGGTGCCGGTTCCATTGCCGGTGCTTTCATCCACGAGAAGCACGGCAACAACGACCACTACAAGGGATTGAAGGGCTGGTACGGCCACGACAAGTCATCGCGCTTCCTCATGGACAACAAGTTCGTTCCTACACCCGGCGCGCAGGGCTTCCAATGCTCAAACCCATCGATCGTCGACCTCACATGCTTAGCGGGCTCGCTCAGCGTCTTCGAGAAGACATCCATGGCCGACCTACGATCACGATCTCTGCTCCTCACCGCGTACGCTGAGCATCTACTTTCTCAGATCGCGGCGCGCAACATCAAGGACGGCAAATTCCCCTTCGAGATCATCACACCCACAGATCCCCGCTTCCGCGGCGCTCAACTGAGTGTACTGCTACCAGAGGATGTCTTTGATGATGCGAGTGCTGCGCTGGTGGAGAACGGTGTTGTTTGCGACAAGAGAAAACCCGGAATCATTCGTGTTGCGCCTGTACCGATGTACAACACTTTCAGTGATGTTTGGCGGTTTATGCAGATCTTCGAGGAGGCGATACGGGAGAAGGGTCAAGGGCAGACTCAGCAGCAGCAGTCGCAAGGGACGGCGGTTGAGGCGAGGTTGTAAATTAGTAATAGTTAGTTAGATGTTCTTTTTGCAGCGTCAGACGGTAATGCATCTAAGAAGGTTCACGTCATTACTTCAATGTTGCTTCGGGAAATTTCGACAGTGATTTCCATTTGATGTTCAGCTTGATGACCGCATGGATATATGCGAACATCAGTGTCAGCAACTGACTGACTGAAGAGCTAGGCACGTAAATCCCCTTTGGGGTCTGTTGGGATTGGTGTTAGACTCGTCCTCCACGTGCGCGCGACAAGCACCCTGCGCTAGGCTGTATTCTACACGCGTACCTTCCACGATTCACTTTTCACCTTCGCTCCATGCGTGACTGTATCCGGAGGAAAGTCGCGCCGGGTGCGACTTCCCAGTGAAGAACCAAATTACTGTGATCCAGTTTACTCACCTCGCTCAGTATCGCAACCACGCTCAACGACCAAGATGGCGCTGTTCCCCCAGAATAAGGCTTTGGCTTCACTCAAAGGGTATGGTTTCATGTCATTCACCATGTCGAGAATTCACTGACGCAATGACGCACTGTCAGCTACCTCCAGTCTGGCGCATACTCGGATCTCAACATCACCTGCGGCAGCGACACGTACAAAGTACACAAGATCGTCGTGTGCGAGCGCGTTAGCTTCTTTGCTCGCGCACTCAAGTTTGGTGGACAGGTTCGTGTTCGACACGAAGAAAGTGAAGTAAAATCTGACTGCCTTCCCAGGAAACCCAGGACAATGTTATCAATCTTCCCGACGATGAGCCTGAGATCATCAAGCTCTTGATCCAGTATATGTACGAGAGCGAGTATGAGCCACAGCTGCCTGAGCACGACACCTCGATAGAAAAGCCGCCGAACGTTCCGACACGTCCTCGCCCAATAAAGAACGCGCAGGGGGTCTGCTACACTTACGAACTCCCCCATACGTGCTGGTTGTTGAACGGTTACTGCCTTAATCCCACCATCTGTCCCCACCATACATGCGCAGCCAGTCTTTTCACGAACACGGGAGCTTGCAACTTCAAATGTTCCGGGTTCCAGTGCAGAGAATGCAACCCATTCCCTCCTACATTATCCCAGCTACCTACCATCACCGGCACTTCCGATCAGCTGCTCGTCCATGCCAAGATGTACGAGATTGCCGACAAATACGATGTGCCAGGACTGAAAGATTTGGTCGTCGAGAAATTCAGCAGGGCGTGCAGGCAGGGCTGGGACTGCGCGAAGTTCCCTATCGCCGCCCGCTATGTCTTCTCGACTACGCCCGATGAAGACAAAGGCCTGCGCAAAGTTGTCTCCAGTACGATCGCGAGTCACATGAAGGAATTAGTGAAGAAACCAGAGATCGAATCTCTGTTGAAAGAGTTCAGCAGTCTGTCCTATGAGCTTCTCAAGGCCAAGATAGAATCGGGATGGCAGTGATCGCCTGGGGTGGTGAGAAAGGGTAAAAGAACAGAGTCGAGACAGAGATATATGAGACAATTTGAAGGATAATATATGTACCAACACGTCTTACTATGCAACACGATCCTCAGTAGCCAAATCATAAACATGTCAATCCCTACCCAACAATCTTGTTATGCCGTTCGTCAGACCCTCCACATCTACCGCTTCTACTGACTGAGCTAGTTGGGTTATGCGTACATGCATATCATTTACAAAATTGTTGACATTTGTTTCACTTTCACTACGCGGCTCGCGCTTCTCGGGGAATCCAGGTGCCGCGCCGCCCACAATAGCAGAACTGACTCTCACCACAAGTCGATACATATTCCCTACATCGTCACTCGACAAAGATGGCGGAAGCTGCGCGCAAGCAGCTGCATCTTACATTCAAGAAGTACGCACACCATCACTGATCAAAAACGTAATAACTGACAACTAATAGTCTACTCGCCTCCGGTGAGTTCTCTGATCTCACTGTGACCTGCGGACCCGACTCGTACAAGGTCCACAAAAATGTGGTGTGTTCCCGCGCGGAGTTCTTTTCTCGCGCTGTCAAGTTCGGAGGCAAGGTATGTCTGACGATTCATGCTTGTTGCTCTTGAGGCCCTACTAACTTTAGTACAGGAGACCGAGCAAGGCAGTGTCGACCTCCCAGAAGATGAACCCGCTATTGTCAAGTTGATGATGCAGTACATCTACGAGGGCGAATACGATCCCGCCCTTCCCGACAATGAGCTGGGCGATTCCACGAAGGTTCCGGCGTCCCCCGCACCCTCTCCACCGCTGCGAGATAGAATGGGAAGGAGGATAAGACCAGCAGTATCTGAAACGCCGCAGTCACTTCCCCATTCCTGTGGGACGTATGGATTCGCCTGCAGTGAGCGGGAGCCATGCAAACACCACACCTGTGGCGCACATTGCCTTTTCACATGCGTAGGCTTTACCTGTGTCTACAGCTGTTTTGTGTCTACAGCCCTGCCTGCACAGTTGATGGTCCACGCTAAACTCTATGAAATCGCCGACAAGTACGATGTATTGGGGTTGAAAGAGCTGGTGATCGAAAAGTTCAAGCGGGCTTGCCACAGCTTCTGGAACGATCCCTCCTTCGCAGCTGCGGCTCATCACGTTTTCTCCACCACCCCAGAACATGACAAAGGTCTGAGGGACATTGTGTTGAAGACCATCGCGGAACACATGGCCGAGCTTGTGAAGAAACCTGAGGTTGAAGCTTTGCTTACCGAGTTCAATGGACTGGCCTTTGGCTTGCTCAAGATGAAGACGGAGGCCGGTTGGAAGTGATGGACTTGACTATGGCCGCCTGAGGGGGAAAGAGCGAATGCGCTATGAAGGGTCAGAGGTGGTGGAGGAACATGATCTGAACCACGAGGCGAAAAGAGTTCAAGAGTCTGAAACTAAATCAATTTCCATGGACTTCAAGGAAATTAGACTTAGTGGACATAAGGGGAAATCCAATTCGGTATGAACAGGATTTGCTATGCAACGCCATCTCCATGACTCCTAACAACAACTATACCTAGTATACCCAACTCGTACTCTTCGTATGCAAGTAACTCATTTCATCATCCCGCTGGACCACATCCATCCCTCATACCCTCCCTATCTACTGCAACCTCACCTCCCCCTCCCCCGTCTTAATCCCAAACTTACTCAACCTAATCCTCGGCACAACCCCCACCAGCACCAACACACTCGCCACAATAACAGCCCAATGCTGCACATGCGCCAAATTCAAATTATACGTCGTCCACGTCGCCGCGCAAATCGTCGCTAGGCCCAACACCGCAATAACATACCCAGCCACCCTATGATACTTATAAATACTCTTCGCGTTCTCCACACTACCATAAAGCTGCGGCACATAATACTGCGTGAACCCCACAATCGCCTGGATGTACACGAGGATATAAAAGGTAAGGCCGAGACGTGCGTGCGCGGATTCAAAGTGTTCGTGGCCGGGGCCGGCTTTGTTCATTTCGATGATGATGAGGCCGGCGGTGAGAGCCGAGGCGCCGAGCGCGTGGAAGAGGAAGTGGGCGAGGGTGCCGGCGCGCTTTTGTTCGGGGGTGTGGGTTGGTTGGAGGACGAGGGCTGCTTGGATGGCTAGGAGGAAGCCGGCCTAGGGGGGTATCAATGATACGGTTGGCGAGAGGGGGTGATTAGGGTGGTGTTGTGGCTTACGGAGTTGAGGAGCTGCGTGGTTGGGCGGTTAGTTGGTGGTGGGCGAGGTTTGAGGGGTGAGGGGCTTACTGGGTGGGCGGAGAAGAAGATGAGTTTGTTGGAGAAGATGGCTCCCCAGATGATGGCTGCGAGCTTTTGACGCGTTAGTATGGGCGTGGTATGCGAGGTGTTGAGGTGCTTACAATCCATATTCCTGCTTGCGCGATGGGAGCGGTGCCTGGATCTGTTAGACTTCTTCCTTACAGCGTATGCTTGACAGCACATACCGATCCACAGGTTATGGTAGAGAGGCTGCCCATGCATCTGGCTCGCATCTCCTCTTCTGCCTAGAAGAGGCTCTTGTTCACTCTGTCCGCGCGCCGCGGCGGCATTTGGTGGGATTCCCGTCGCAGAAGCCATGCCGTGATGTAGAAACTCAAACGCGATGCTATGAACAGCCTGAGAATCAAGAGAGGTCAAAGGGTATAGTGTCAGCCTGCGACAGGTGTCTGAGGGGTGCGCTTCGGACTTTAGGCGATGAGGAAGCTCCGGCAGACAATGACGACAATACGAACCCCTGTTCGTATCCACCAATTAGCGCGATGCGGATGTCAGATGCATTGAGCTCCGGCCAATCAGCGCCGAGATGACTAAAAACCGTGGAGAAAGTGGTGATGTTTGCATTGCGGGTTTTGGGGGGTGGAGAAGGCGTTCTTGACGCGAGATGCATGTCTAGCGCGTCCACAACGGTCGCGTGAGACATCTTCATCGCACCACTAGACGCACATGAGGAAGCTGAGCATCGGTATTGGTGGTTTGAGTATATTCTCGTCTCCGTTACATCGTTGCTATTGTACAAGTTTGCGCTCATCAGTAGCGCTGCGTCAGCATAGTCATCCCCGCTGCGTGTCAAGGTATCAAGTCCATGTATAATATCCCCCCTCTTTCTATCCCAAGGCAGAGTTTGCTGCCATAATGCCGCCTAATGAACCATACTACGGGGAATCATCCTCCACCAGCTGCGTTCGCTCCAAAGTAACAATACGCCGTCAAATGCTCATGCATTCGCCTTGAAAACATTACATCCATTAACAATCCAACTGCATAACCAAACTAAGGATATGAGATGCGAGAAGCATCCCAAGTAACAACCAGCGCCTCTAGTGCGATGGTAGTAACGTGGACCACTGTCATGTTCGGTGTGCCTAGTAGCACGTCCAGTGGCTCCCCAACTGCGCCGTTCGCTGATGCAGGTAGGAGCAAAATCGAGTACCGTGCCTCGATACAATGTGTACGTGTGCGTAAAGGTAAAGTCACCCACTCTCACTTCTTCTTCATGAGAGCAGGCTGTTTCGAAGGGTCGGCCGGATCCAGGAACTTGGTCATGGCAAGAGAGAGTTCTTTGAACTCCACCGGCTTCGTGACGTAAGAGTTGAAGCCTGCTTCCACGCACTTTGCGTAAACATCACCGAGGACGTTCGCAGAGAGCGCGATGATAGGGTGGCGGCGGTAGCTATGCTTCTTCTCCCACCGCCGTATTTCTTTGCAAGCTTGGTACCCGTCTTTGTTGGGCATGTGTAGATCACACTGGACGACGTTAGTGCTGTACGAAAGAAACAGACGTTGCTACTTACGAGGATGATCGAGTAATAGCCGGGTGGCTTTGCAAAGACGGTATCGGTAGCTTGAACACCATCCTGTACCGTCTCTGTTTCAATGTCGATCCTGGCAAGGAATTTCAAGATGACCTGAAGACTATCAGTATGCGCAAGAAGTTACATGTAGAGGCCACTAACCGTTTGGTTGATCTTGTTGTCTTCGACCAGCAAGACCTTGTGGTTCTTGCCACCCACGCGGCGCTTGAGTTCTTCAAAGACAAGCTTTTGGCTGACAACGACCTGCTGTGCGCTGTCTTGATTGCGATCCGTGCTAGACTCACGCTCTTTCTGTGGGTCGAAGATGATGGCAAACTTCGAAGGTTTGAGAGGACGGTAGATGAACTGGAGGCGTCGATCCATGTGAAGCTGCTCGTAGTCATAGACCGGTGCTTCTTTGATCAGCTCCTTCTTCTGGGACGGATCCGAGACTACGACAACGGATGTGTTCCCGTACGCCATGGAGCTGAAGATCTGGTCCACGATGGCGTGCACCTCGGCAGTGTCGTGCAGCACGAGAACAACATGGGTGAATAGCACGGGATTATCGCCGCCCATCATCTTCTGCGCCTCGATGACGCTAGCTTGACCCGTCACTTGATGAGGTATCCCTTGAGGAAGCGTGTTCCTGATGTGTCGGATCGTAGCTTCCCTACTATGCTCCAATGGGCACACCACCAGAATAGAATACATGGGAGGTTGTAGAGCACTGCCAAGCGGTGACAGACTACGATGGGGTGAGGACGCACGGAGGGTCTTGTCCGAATCGATGGAGGTGGAAGAGTCGGGCTTGGGGGCTTCCTCGCTATCGGTTCGTTTGGGTGGCAGAGCTAGTTTTATATCCGGGTCTGAAGCTGGGCTGGCCTCTTGCAGGTACGAAGACGCAGAAGATCTTTCCGAACGCAAGCTCGACTGTCCAGTAAGAGCGGCACTTGTCAAAGAGTGATCCGAGCTACCAGAGGAGAGGGACGGAGAGTCGCGCGAACGCTCAGAGGCTGACAGACTAGATGCAGGCGACCTGACAGGTTCGCTCTTGTCCGAGGAGACGCTTGATACGCGCTTGATCGGTGCTTGGCTAGGATTTTGTGACTGAACAAATTTCTGAAGAGCCGAGGGCTGGGGTAGTGGAGGCACTGCTGGCACTGCGAGCGGTGTCTCAAAAGCTGGCGTGCCTGGTGTCGACACCTGCGGCCTGGGGAAGTCGTCGGCAGTGGGAAGCCCAAACTTGATCGTGAAGAAGAAAGTCGAACCCTTGCCTGGCGCACTTCGTGCATCCATTCTACCTCCATGTAGCTCCACGAACTGCATAGAGATAGCCAAGCCGAGTCCTGTTCCGCCGTGTTGCCGGGTACTGCTGGCGTCGATTTGACTGAATCGCTTGAACAGGTACTTGGCCTCAGCATCTGTGAAGCCTTGACCGGTGTCCACCACTTCGAACCGAACCATGGTCTCGTTGTCTCGCAGGGGCCGAGATCGATCGGGTGGTTGCAATCTGCATCGGATAAAGATCTCTCCTCGCTCGGTGAACTTGATTGCATTGCCAACCACATTAAGAAGGACTTGGCGAATGCGGAACTTGTCACCCTTGACCTCTGCTGGCACACCTTCGTCCACAAGGTAGTTGAGTTCAAGGCCTTTCTGTATGGCTAAGCCCATATTCAAGTCATTGACCTCTTCAAGAAGCGACGGCAGATGGAGCCATTCCATGGACAGCTTGATCATACCGGCTTCGACCTTTGACAGATCGAGAATGTCGTTAATGAGGTTCAGCAGACTGTCGGTACTAGCTTTTATGATGTTGACATGCTCCAACTGCTCAGAGTTGAGCGTGCTGTCAAGCAGGAAGTTGACCATGCCGGAGATACCGTTCAGAGGAGTACGGATCTCATGAGACATGTTACTGAGGAACTTGGACTTTGCATCCATGGTTTCCTTCAACGTCTGCTCGAGCAGCTTGTGGTCATTGATGTCGGTAGCTGTGCCATACCAGGTCTCTTCATCGCCGTCTTCAGAGAGTGAATTCTCTAACAAGATCCTGACTAAATGCCACCTGTAGTCACCGTCTTTGTTGCGAAGTCGCACTTCGGTGGAATAAGATGCCCGTCCATCTGCATCCTTTGCAACCCTGAGAATACCAGTGCTTGCTAGTTTGGACAACTTGGCCTGAGGCATGTCCATGCGGTCTGGTACTGATCCACCTGGGCTGGTGATTGTTCGCTCAGTCTCCGATGAAGCGTCCGATGAATTTGAATCGGTTCTACCGTGATCTGCTGGCATCGAAGTGGGCACATTGGCTACTCCGTGTTCATCTAACTCGGGAAGCTTGCACTTGACAACGTCATCAGGGTGCACATGCTCCAAGAAGCCGTTGCCCAGGGCATGAATCTCACTTTGGCCAGAGAAAGAAATCCACTGCGAATTGCAGAACGTCAAACCCCTGCGATCTGACACGACAAACACAATCTG